GCGGAGGGGGCAGGTTTTGCATTACTAGCCCACCCCTTGGGAGTCCTACCAGGGTTAACACGTTACCCGCCAGGCTGAAAGGAGGCAGCCAGGCAGCGAGCGGAGGGACGCGGAGGCGAACCAGATCAGTCGGCCTCACGAGGGCCCAGCTCCCCTGCTCTCTCCGCCTTGCTGCGGAAAGAAAAGCTTTCACTCCGGACTCCGCAGGAGGGCAGCTCGCGGCTCCACCGGCCACTCGGCCAGCGAGGGGGATGGGAACTCCCGGACCCTTTCCCTGATCTGCTCTTGAGACAGCGCCACCCCGGGGCGGCCCGTGTCCAGGATGGACCCCACGCCCCCGCGGAGACCACACAAATCCGTGATACGCACGTGGTGGAGGAGGCCGGGACAGGCATGGTCATTGCCAGTTCTTCTCCGCTTGCTCCCTCCCGCTGGCCTCTCCACTCATACCTCCTGCGGCTCTGGGCGCTCTCATCTCCAGGAGGGAAAGGGTGCTGGCTCTGGACCCACACCCGGGGAGAGAACTACTGGAGCCTGCCTGTCCAGAGGCAGCTCTCAGCTCCTCTGCGCCCAAAGAAGCAAGCGACTGGGCTCTCTACAGCAACGTCCACCAGCCCAGCCCAGCCCAGCAGAAGCCAGTCCGATCTCAGTTGAGCAAAGCTGTGCAGTGCTCCCATCTCCCAAGGAGCTTGGCCAATGTCCCTGCTTCTCCATGCACAGAAACCAGCTGTTTCTTCCCCCCCAGCCCCGCCCCGCCCGGCCGGCCAAGAGAGTCAGCGTCCTAGCAACGCTCGCAGAAATGTTGGCTGGCATTATGCAAGGAGAGGGCGCTGAACGGGGGACACGGCCCCCACCCGGCCCTGCTCGGAGACAGCAGATAAACACCCTGCCCCCATCACACTCAGGGGGAGCTAAGGACGCTGCCAGGAGATCTCATGACAGGGCTGGCGACAAAGCCCTTCCCGGGGGCTGCTCCAGGGACTGGCTCAGGGTGGACAGCAGGGAGCCCAGGG